CTCACTATCCCAATAGTGCATTTTGCACTAAAAACAATCGTTCCTGTCCTAGAATTCACCAAGTTACCGAGCGGGTAAGACTCGTTTCATTCGAAATTTCCCAGGGTAAAGCCTTGATGACATGTTAGTGTATTCCAAAGACTATGATTCTTTGGCTGATTATCGAATTCTGAACTCTTTTGAAACTGATCCATAAAGTCCTGGGCTCAACCATAGTAAATGAAGCATCGGAAATGTCAGAAGAATACCTGTTTCTATTTGTAGAAAAACAAAGATGGCCATTCTAAAATCAGGATGAAAACTCCACACACATGATTCACCTTAACAAGCGGCAATTTGATTGGTTGTTTATAGCAGCTCCAATCTGATTGGTGTGAAATACATACATCTCTCACTGATACAATGATCCATGTTAACAAACCTCAGACCCACCAACTAAGAGGTATTTTTTTTACAAAAAAAATAACTCAGATATATACCTATATGGTTTTGCAAACTCATGCTATCCTTGTGGTGCTATTCTCTTAAGAACAAAAGCAATTTGCTCCAAACGCATGTGCAGATTAGTTAGTTTCAAAGTCGACTATATGTTAGGTGAAAGATACATTTCATGCAGGACTACCCACGAACGTTGAGTGCTTTTCGTTGTTGTAGAACATAACATGTAAGACATATGCGTTCTAGCATCGCTAGTGTGATAAACTCAGCTCTCGAGTTCAGAGGCACCCTTTTTTTATTTTTTGTAATGAGAGATACCACACTCTCATTTTGGCCGGGGATAGCAGGTATATTTCAGGTAATGTCAGTTCTCCTTTTTTTAGTGATAAGAACACTACTGTGACTGCATGTCTTCTGGACTCTTCCCTAGCTTGATTCAAGGAATGTTGTCTGCTGTTTCATAACTATAGTGTGTTTGCCAGGCTTCAAATAAAGAATAGAAAAATTGGTTCTCCTTAGCAGCTTGTTTGTTTCCTCTTCTATGAAAGAGAGCCAAAAGTTCATATTCAGCTGAAACTTTCCCGCATTAGTCACAAGTAAAACTAGTAAATTTGTGACATAAGAAACTTCGTTATTATTGCTACAGACTCTGTGGTACTTACTGAAACCGCCAATTCATTTCATAAGTCAATGAGATGACTCGCTCACCAATGTGGGATATAATTTCGGTCAAATGAAGATCTCTACCTTCAATACTTCTCGTTGAAACGTTCCTCAGATGTATTACTTGTTGCATTGTGTATTAGTTTGACATGGTTTTATTGTTAACATCAAAGCTGGCGACAGAATAAGAACGCACTATTCCGTGACTCGACATGACTATTTGATAATTTGATAAGTTCTTGTAAAATTTGCGTTTTGAATAAAACAAAATGGTTCCTCTTTGACCTTTCAGCAGATATTTCACTTTTATATTCCATTTATCTCATGCAATGAGTAAAAAAGAGTACACGTCTTTCTTTTATTTTCTTGGAGACAAAGCTATCTTGTTGCATTCATTGGTGAGGAAAACAAAAGTATCAAATTACAAACGTTGGCATGAAAAGTAAAATTGTCACATTTGCTACAAAATGAACGAAACTCAACATTAAATACCACAATAAATTTAAAACCGTCTTGACAAACAGTAATTGTAAGTTATTTTTGGGCCTTGAAAGAAAACACAAACATGAAACATACACACTGCCAAGATTATGTTAAGATTATTAATTTGAAGCTTGAGCAATGCCCACATTAGTCGTCTTTAGGAGTTAAATTCAAATTTTCCAACAATCATCCCTGACCTTATCATATGGGAGTTCTCACCCCCCCCCCNATTCCAAATGTCTAACAGGAAGTGACCCAGTGAAGGAGTGATGGAGTGAAATCATCCCACCACTACAACTTTATATTTTCCAAGTTTAGAAATGAACGTTATATACATTACTGTAGCCCTTATTTCTAACAAACTTAATACCAGTACCCTTTTAAAGAAGTGGTCTAGTTTCATAAATTACAGAATGCATGTAGTACATAGTCACATTGGTATTCTACTGGAGAGGCAACTCATTTATTCCTGTCCCAATCAAATTTTCATGTTCTGTTAATTAAATGTACATCTTTGCTGTCAAGCTTGAAGTGAAGTGATATCTTTTAGCCTTACTGGATGAAAAGATCTTCATCTCTTTAGCTTTTCTTTCACTCCTTAGAAAAGCAAACTAAACAGTACAAAATTCACCATGATGTGGTTATTCCCCTAACTCGTCAATGTGTACAGACACACATCCCAAATTTAGTGGCAGTGTTCAACTAAAACAATTAAGACACTACAGTGTACTGTACCTTGATCCTTTTCGTCTCATCACTGATTTTGCTCTGTGTCTTTGTAGCAGCCCCATTAGTGCTAAGATGCGAGCATTTATTGTGAGAAGATTCTTAGATGCTTCAAGTGCCTGGACTTCTTCATGGCAAGCAGCCAACAACTTGACAATTCCATCTCGTATACATGCCTCATGGTCAATCTTTTCTTGAATTGCCGAGTCATCTAGTTCCTGAGGATCATACAAAAAGATTCCAACAGAGTTCGTGACCATGGCCTATTTTCTACTACAACAGGCCAGCAAGAGAGCTTGCCAAACAAGTAAAGCAGTGTAGGTTTCATAGCTTAATTCCTGTATGCTGTTTCCATTCTTGATTAGGAGAGTGTTTTAACTCCTTATGGGTCAGAGGTGTGTTTGGTATTGATAAATGGGTAAAAGGTGTTTGTGGTATAAATAGTTCACTAGGCAGGTACATGTAGATAGGTAAGTAGATAGGTAGTAGGTCGGAGGGCAGGTAGCTATATAGGTAGGTACATAGCTAGGAGAGTACGGGGGTAGATACATACATACATATTCTGGATACATAGCTGGGTAGAACAATTTTTCAAGAGTGCTCGACATAAAAGGAGCAGTAACTTAGGGTTAGGTCATGATGTTACTCATCACTTTATTGCTACAGCTCTGTTTCCTATGGCCAAGAATGACCACACTCATCAGGTAACATTAGCAAATGACAGTTAACTGACAATGCAGGCCATATAATACGAATACAAAGGTATGTGTGTGCCATAGCGCACACCATTCCATTACTCACATGTTATGTTATTCGAAAGAACTTGAGATTAAATCTATTTCTGTGAGGACATGAACTTGCCAATTCGTCTCTCTTGCATCTCTTACCAGCATAAAATTCTTTAGGATAACGTTGTCATGTGTCTTTTATTTATAGACAATTTTAAACATTTTTTTCTGTAATTTTTAAGAAGTTCACAGGATTGTGTTGATTCTTTAATAGCTTGTTGAATCAACAGTTACATGATGATATGAAGTGATTTTGGATTTGTTATTCACTTGAATGTATATTATTAAAACTAACATTCTTGACATGATTTGGCCTTGCATACTTGTATATTAATAATAATGAAAATGACATGACTTTTTTTGGCCTTTTTCTGATTTCACTTCAGCATAGAATTTTCACAGTAATTCATTTAGCTCAACCAGTATTACACTTTCAGCTTTCAGTCGTCGCACCACTTCTTGAATTTTTTGATCACCCACGAAGTGGCTCTCGTCCTATTTTCCGCCTGAGCTTTTGCTTCTAATTTGTCTAAAGGCTCCAGCCCCAAATCTGAGTTTTGACCGCTAATTTCTTCCATTACTTCAGTTTTCATCTGGCGACAATTCGGCGAGTGAAAAAACTGCAGTTGAAAACTAAAGTTTTGCAAGTAAATGGTTTTCCTCCATCAACACTACGCTTACTCTAATTGGTTAAAATCCATCAGATAATGAAGCAAGAATCAATCAGCTGTAGGGCTGATAATGCATTAGCAGCATGCTGTCAGTCATTTGCGGCCTGCTGAACACTTGCTTTTAAGAGGCAGAGTTTCTATTTGACCACGTATATTGATAGTAATGCTCATTTTTTTGCGCTTTAAGACCATTCAACGTATACGAGCCACATAAGTGGCAAAAATGTGGTAGTGATAAGATATTACATACCTACGGATCATGACAACACCCGAAATATACTTATTCAAATATCACTTCACTGCATCTTTGCAGTTCATCATATTTTCACAGGTTTAACAACTGAACATACGCTTATATTTTAATATCTGTAATTTGATCAAAGAAAATCAAAATACTCGCAAAATATTTCCTGTGAGAAAGACATAAATCACTTAAACTACTGACTGCAAAACTGGTAGTTTACACGAAAACAATATACCGGCCGGCGAAAAGATTTACAATATAAACAAGCAGTGCTGAAACGATCAAAAGGGCTTCTACGGGCTTCCAAGATCAACTTTGTCTAAAATAAAATCCCTTTCGAGATCGCAGCACAACCAGTAAGATGCGGACTATAAGCTTAACTGGAACTCAGACGAATTCACGACTAACGCATGGATAGCAAAATACTCTATGGTATACAAAATTCAACTTGCATCACAAAATGTGCATGGTGTGTTAAAAACACAAGAAGAACATGGAACGTTTAAAACAAGCGCTTGGCGTTACAGCTACAACTGGATCGATAACCTTACCTTTTTCGTTTAATTCAGATATTCAGATATTGTGCGTCTTTGAGATCATCACACGAGTTCTCAGGAACGCTTACGTGTCGAAAATCCACAACAACATGCGTCGATTTTTACCCAGCTTAACTTTTACAAACATAGCTTCAAAGTATGGGACTATCTTTTGAACCGGAAGTCCCAAAAACTTGTTCTTACAGGGGATTCACTTTACACAAAGCGATGTTTAACAATAACAATTTACAGACCACTTGAGCATAAAAACGGCTATTCAAGCGCGAAGAGCTTTGGAAAGAATCATTACCCTCTCGCACGAATGTCTTCGACAAAGGGTGAAGCAAAGAGTTTTTTTTTTAGTACTGTTTCTAATAACCAAGTTTTTCTGTGATCCCTTGAGACCCCATGTCACGCGAATGAAGCGGATGTTCTTTTCATGCTTAATCGACCTAAACTGGCGACCCTGACACTTTTGAATTTTGGATTAGTCAAATACAACGTACACCAACTCTGGCGTTATTAATGAATTGTTTCTCTCTAAATATTTCAGCTTCAAATGCTATAAAAAAAGGTCACTTTCACGCATGAACCTGTCAAACGAGGTCGTCTTCATTCAAATATCGTTTTCGGTGTTCTCCAAATTAAAGCCCGCCCAAAAACTTTCAAACCAAAACTATATGTGAAATTACCTTTAAAGCGGCGGCATCCCATTTCTCAACAAACTCTGAGTTCATTCTTCTTCTCTTGCTCACCGAAGAACCGGGCTCTGTCTCATTTCGTTCGTACCGGTCGCGGCCCTTTCGATACTGTCTCTGCTTATCTAATTTATTACCTACCTCTCGGGTGGCCATGTTTTGTACATAAATTACCACCAGGTGCCCGCGATACCGGCATTTAGGAAGAAGCGGTGCTTCTCGAACTCTATCATCCCGACAGGGACCCCGACGGGGTCGACGGGGCCCGTCCCGACGATCGACGACGATCTCGACCAGGGAGAGGTGGCTGTCCTGATGATCATGGCCATCGTGACGTGAAGGAGAGCGAAGCGTGCAAATACTACGCACAAAATTTTCGAAAATGACGTCGCTACCTCTCGCAGAAACAACTTTTCCAAGCGGATTTCTCCGATTATGACTGGTCTTCAGTGTCACGCCATTCAAAACAGATCAAAATAAAAATCAAAACCGTGCAATAGATAAAGTTCAGAATCTGGGAATTGAAAGAAGGTAAATATGCAAAGACTCTCGCCAAGTTTCTGGTCACAGCAGTTTTTCTTATGCAAGATATGCGAGAAATTTTTAACCCAAATTTATAGAGATTTGTATGGAGAAGCCATGCTGGTGCCCATCCGTATGAGCACCAACATGGCAGACGGAAACCAACAGAAACATCTGTCACTGAGTTTTGCTACAAAAGCTTGAATTTATCCCTCGAGGAACTCTAAAACATTAAAATAATACTTTTTTCCAAGACATGAACTGTTCAGATAGCCAAATTCCCCGAAATAAGTCACTTTTTTTAACCATCATGACAGCTCTCTACGCTGTCATGTAAATGCCGCGTCACGCAAAAGCTTAGAAATTCAAGCGTAGTGTATCACAAAACCAAGAACCCATTCGGAGCGAAAATTTGTATGCTTTCAGTTGCTCTTATATATCATTAAATTAAAATCTCAGAAAGATCAATAGTTTTGTAGTTTGAATTTTAGTGACGTCATGTAAAAACCAGCTATTCCAGCTTCAAATGATATTGTATTTGAATCTCAAGGAATAATTATCATTGCTCTTTCTTGAGAGGTAAGTGGATTTTAATTATAACCGAAAAATCGTGCATAAGGTGTATTTTAAGTGTAATAGTCATCGCACTGTGTGCATGGGAAAAAAGTTTGACTATTCGCCCTGTAAAATTGCCTTTTTCAGTGATCGGTAACTTAAACAAACGTGAAACTTGGTCACAGAATAGCCTATACGTATAGGAAAACATTGTAATTGAAGATGATTTTGAGAAATCAGCAGTAAAAATGATCATTCCGTTTGAGTATTATACAAAATATTATGCTTAAGCTAGGAATGAAATCTGCGATCTTATGCTCGGAGTACAGTGTGCTTTCACAAAACAAAAACCTTTTCACATATTCTGCTACGGGCCGAGCAAACAGAAATATTATACACATTGCTGGAAATGAGAACTTTTACGAACAAGAACTTTAAGCTTAATTATGCAAATACAGTGCGTTTACTGAAACCGGGACCACCCAGACAATGAAAACCAATCAGATGGCAGAACTGAAACAATAGATTCCAGCGTTTTCAAACCCAGCCAATCAAATGTCCGGTTCAAAACAATGAAATCTCAACTTATTCGTTGTGATGCTTGCGCAATTAAACATAGGCACGCAAGGCGTGCAAGAGTTTTTTTTGTTGTGAAGTGTCCTAGACAGGAGCATTCATGGAGCTGTTTACAGTAATGATTTGGTTCATTTGACAAGTTTTTTGGTTGCGATGTACAGCAAAAAAGAAACTGGGAATTTATGATGTACATGCGATGTTACATCGGTCATGGTAAGATAGCTAAATAGTAAGCCATAAAATGTTTGACTGAACAAA